CAGCCCCGGCCCGGCTCCACCCCTCCCTGGCTACCTGCCCACTGCCCTGGCAGCTAGCCTCAGCCTGGACGCTCAGGGTTCAGGAGCCAATGGGGACAGCTGTGGGCCCTGGCCAGGCCCACCTGCTCCCTGGCCTCAATTCCCCTCCACTCAATGAAAAAAGTCGCCTCCATTTGCACCTGGGCCCTCTGGGACGACGGACAGAAGGGCCCAGGGGCAGGGGACAGGCCAGGCCACCCGAGCCTGCACCTGCACCCGCTCAGCACCCAGAGCCCAGGCCCAGAGCCTGCCAGTACCCAGCTTGCCTACAATATGCTCCGCAAAAGGCCTGGGCTCCCCGAGAGTAGATTCCAGGACCTCACACCCCTGCTCTCTGTCTGGGCGTGGAGCTGCCCTGAGCTCCGAGAGCCTGGCTGGTGGCACCCTTGGCCCACGCGGTCCGCGACAGGGCCCGGGCTGCTCTCCCCTGCCACGTCCAGGCAGGTGGCAGACACCCACCACCTGTCCCAGGGCGGTATCTGCGTCACTGAGCTCTCTCCACACCGGGGAACCGTGTGGTCAGAGCCAGGGCGCGGCGCCCAAGCCCAGCCCCAAGTCAAGCTCTGAGCCCTGGAGCAAGCCGCAGCACCCTGGCTTCTCACCCCGAGGGGACAGCGACCATGCCACAGGGGTGGATGTGGGGAGCGAGCTGGCGGGAGGGCGGCCATCAGGATGCGGTGCTGGTGACAGCGATGGTCCTGTGGATCTGGGGGAGGGGCAGTGCACGTGGGTGCACAGGGTGGCAGGTGGTAGCAGCCACGCCTTGACGGGGGTGGCACCTAGCCCAGTGGTCACACGGACTGGTACTGCTGCTGACCGTGGGCAAGGGCAGGACCTCGTGACAGGATGGTGACAGTGGAGATGATGCAGATCGCGGTGGGAAGCCCAGAGCTCTCGAGTCGGTTCAAACCCAGGCCCTCTGCAGGAGAGGGCCCTGTGTCTCCACCTCCTGGCAGGCAGGCAGCCCCCCTCCCCACAGCCCATGACATGCAAGAAGGGCTGAGTCTCAGGGAGCCCCATGCACCAGGCAGGCCCAGGCCCCTCCCCAGCCACCATGTCACTGCTCCTAACGGATCTGCAGCTTGCTGGTCCCACTTGTCTGGGGGGGAGGTCCCCAGGAGTCCTGAGCCCTCTCCACAGATGGGGCAGTTTGCACTGGCGTCCTGAGCTCCACGCCTTCCTGCCCCTCCCCTCCTGGGCTGCTCCTCTCTGGGCCTGGGGCCTCGGGGGCCTGGGGCTCGCAGGGTCACAGCACTTAGACCATTACCCTTGCTGTCACCCACCACGCACGCTCAGTGCCCAGGCTCTCCCTGGGGCACCCGGAGGCATAGGCGAGGCGGAAGGTGGCAGAAGAGGAAGCACCCCCTCCTCTGCTTCCTGCCACAGCTCATCAGGGAGTCGCTAGGCGGGGCCTGTCCCCCAGAGCACTCTTCCCAGCCACCTCCCACCAGTCCTGAGGCCGCATGCTGGCCACAACCCTCTCCTTCCTCCACCTCCATCCCTCTCCCTGGGCCCGGCTCCCAGACCTGGGTTAGGGCCCCAGGGCTGCCCTCGCCCCCTGGGTGGCCCCAAACTGGCTGTTTGCCACTCTGTGCCTCAGTTTCCCCATCCACTACCCCAGAGTAGCTGTGAGACGTGAACGAGGTGATCTGCACCTGCCAGTTGGCCGGGGGCTCAGAGCGGGCGCAGAGCGGGCAGCCCGAACCGGGAGCAGCCCAGCTGGAGGGAGGTCTGAGGGACAGGACTCTCCAGACACGGGAGAGTGAGTGCTCACAGCTCCCAGCGCGAGGGCGTGTGGAGGCTGACCGAGAACACATGTGTGCCCAGGGCCAAGCCAGCTGGCGGAAGCCCGGGGCTGACGGAGTGGCGAGGAGCAAGCCAGGCCTGGGGCACTGCTCCGTCCAGGTGGGCCATGTAGCGGATTGGCTCCGTGGAAGTGCGTGGGGACATGCACTCCAGTGTCTTCCGGTCCCTGTGTGAACTCGCCGGCGCGGGCTCTCACAGACAGAACGGAGCAGCTGGCACTAGGCCTTGCCGGGCCCGGGGACACAGATGAGTCAGACCAGGCTGGGCCCAGAGGCTCCCAGCCAGAGCACACGGCACGCGGGTCCCCATGCACGAGGTTCTCTGGTTGAGGAGGTACATCTTACAGGAGGGGCACTGGGGCCAGAGGGAATGGCAGCCTGAGAGCAGGGGCGGGAGGCGTGGGACTATGAGCAGCCCTCACCGCGCTGGGACGCAGGGCCGTCCCTGCGCCTGCAGTGGCCCCCAGCAAAAGGCAGCAGTTGTGTGGCCGGAGGAGGCTGGGAGAACACGTGGACCCACTGAGAACACGTGGTTATAGGAGCTGGCAGACAGCGGATCCAGCACCGCAGCGGG